ATTATTATGCCTGTTTGTGTGTGTGTATTCAGTGTTCGTGTAGACACATAAACACAAACATTATCAGTATTAAGGAAAAGGTTCACTGGGGAATCTGCTGAGGAAAAGAGTCTTCTTAGGAGCAGAAATGGTTGGATGCTGAGGTTGTTAAGAAAGCAAAACAGAACATTTCAAAAGAAAAGCAGCTGAAATTAAACATAAACGCTAAACGTCATATTCATTGACATAACCCCATATGAAAATATCTTAGATGATCATTTTAGAAAATAAGGCTACATTCCAATATCAATCTTTTTACTTTTGTTTCAAATGAATGAAACAAAATGAAATCTATTGGGCTTACATTGTCTGCCATGAATCGAGTATCACAATAATGTATGGGTCAGCTATTTTAATTAATACAGACATGCAGTACATGAACTTTTCCTTTAACAAAAGGCAAGTGTGCCATGAGGTCACAAGTGAGGCATTAGCCAAAGTATATTTATAATAATTGAAAGACTGTCACATTTGGACTCTTGTCTGTTCATCATTAATCTGTAGTGAAATAGATATTACATCCGACTGATCATGAAGTGTATTTCTGTTGTGTTTTTTGCTTTTTGAATGATGGTGATCGGGGCTACACCTTTGGCAGTAATTCACATGTTTTCTGGCTGGAAATTATAATACTTTGGTCGTGGCATAAAGAAGGCATATTGCAAATATTAATCTCGGACATTTTAAGCATTATCTTTAATATTAAAATGTATTTTGAATGCTAAAAACAGTTTTTCTATTTTCACAGGAATTTTTTTGGTGTCTATTAGCCAATTACAACTGGGTATTTGTGTGTATGGCACAAAAAAGGGTAAAGCACTGGTAAATATCACATGTAATTAATCATGTCAAAGAAACCCAATCAGCCTTGAAACATGACATTTTCCTTATTGATGGATAGCATGTGAACTCGTCCAACATAGTCCCATAGATACCAGTCTCAATCTGTCAATCAAAGTGACATAATCAAGTGTGTTGATGACTGAGGTGCAGTTAGAATATGTTACTGCTTTATGCCTGTATTTATTAGAATAAAATAAGTGACCCTGAAGAGGCAGTCTTGTTATTTTTTTTTAATCAAATGATGCCACCTCTGATGAATTCTTACCTCTACTGATTTGGAATACTGTTTTATTTAAAATATTTATTTTGAACGAAGCAGAAGTGCTTGGTCATAGCTGCCCTTAGAGAAGAGCATCATATACATCACTGGCAATGCTTACATTTATATTTCACTCAAAAAGAAACAATATGTTCTGCAAGCAGGAACATTTGATGTCATTCCTGATGGTAAGAGCCAGATTAATTTAACCAGTTTTTCTGATTCTGATTGTCTGTCTGGGCTGCACTGGATTAATCAGGTGACATAGAGAAGTCCCAAGGTGAAGGATAAAAAGCACATGGAGGCTGCTATAAATGTTGATTTTTTTTTGCAACCAGTTGATTTCCCGAAAAAAGTAATAAAAAATGTACTTTACTTAGTTTGTAAATCAGTAGGGTGTGTGTCTCAGTGGAGGTCAGCTAATCTGTCTTCCACTGTGAGGCTCACTCCAGAGATGGAAGTCAGCAGCAGGAACCTACCCCCCCCCCCACACACACACACACACACACACAAATATCCAGTCACCACATGTGCATCAACACGGAAGGGAAGTAGGGCGACATGCTACAGACTCCCTGCCACCCACACCTGCCTCTGCCTCAGGCTGTAGACCAACAGCAACACACACACACACACACACATACACACAGTGGGGAGTATCTGCTTTCATGTAAAATGCCACATTGATTTGCTCAGTGTTTTCATCTATAGGTTCTTGTATTGTGTTTGACTTATATGAAGAGATGATTGCTTATTTCAAGGACATTATTTTACTGGGCTTCAGACTCCATGTATGCCATGTTGCATGAGCACAAACAACAGATACAGAAGGCTTACCAACACTGAGTAAGACACTAAGTATTCTGACCCTCGGCTTAAATAAAGAATCTAAAAACACGTTCAAGTTGCATAAAGTCAAACCTTTACGTTAGAGGAAATATTCATATACTTTCTACACATTACACCTGAGTCAGAAGGAGTATAGCTTCCTTCATGTTGTGCCTCCCTTTGACAAACCTTTGTGATGGGGAAATAAGCTTTCCCTGTTTTGGGGAAGTTTTCAGCATGTTTGGACTCAGATATAACATCTCCAGTGGTATCTGCAGGCAAACCGAATGATTCAAAGGCCATCAGTTCCCACAGAAGACATTTAGCATATGACACGTAGTGGGCCCTTCCATCTAAAGTGGTTTACAGTAGCAGCTGTGCATACATCTTGAGTATGAGTTGCCCCGGTGGGAACTGAAGCTCATATCCTGACAGTGCTGGTGCTGATATATGCTGTACCCACGGAGCTACACAGAAAATGAAATCCCTAACCTTGGCAGCTTTAGTGCTAGGCTCTACTCATTGAGCTCCATGGGAAATTGAGTTTCTAACCCTGGTAGTGGCAGCACTTATAGTTGTACCCATAGGGCTGCAAGAAGTGCAGAATTTCAGAGGATAGATCACACTGTCATTTTCTGTTGGATTTGTAGAGGTCGGTGGGGTCACTTAAGAAAACAATATATACGAACTTGAGCAGATAATGGCAGACAAATAAAGGATTTTTGTCTAAGTCAACAAAAAACCTCAAGGTTAAGGGTCACATATAAATCAAATGCACATGTTCTTCTTACACTTATATGTGTTTCTAGCCTGTCTACAAATCGCAAATCGACAAAAGTCCATCCTCTCCGTCTTTTGCCTGCTCCACTTTTCAGAAAATGTGTGCTCAAACAGGCCATTTGGAGTAACCCCTCCCCTAGGTGGCTGACACTCCCACATCTAGGTGTTTGTTCTGTCCTCTGAGTCTGCTTTCTTACCCTAAACAATAGGGCATGGTGCAAGAAAGAAGAGCCACCCAAGCCCTTCCACAGAGGCGTGGTCAAACACAGCTCATTTGCATTAAAGCATAAGCAACAACAGCCTGTTTTAAGAAGGGCTGAAATAGAGGATTTTTTAGGAATGATAGAATATAGGATCAGAGTAGAATTTTAGCAGGAAACTTCACAGATATGTTACGGGGAGCTCTGAGACTTATTTAAACTAGTTGAAAAGGAGTATAAAATGTGACCTTTACATTTTGGCAGGCAGACAACAGGATGACATTTTTTTGGGGAAACTATGGGCATTAAAAGTGAAGGGTTTCTGGGCATGTTTTGACTGACAGATTAAAAGGAAGACCTTGTTTAAAAAAAAGACCTAATTTAAAAAAAAGTCTTAAATATCTTTCTTATACCCTTTTGTGATCCAAGGTTTTCAACAGTTTTACAAATATATAGGCCCTGTCCACTCTCTCTTAAGGTTGTTATACAAACTGGAAAGTTGACAAATATTTTTCAAAACCTGAAAGTAGGTCTTTTCAAAAGCTTTCATGTGAGAGCAGCATATCTTGTTCATCCCCTCCTGTCCTGCATCATAGGTATTTTTGAAGAGCGAAATCAAGAAGGCGGAGGAGAAAGGTCTCTGGGTCATTGGTAAAGTGAAAAATGATCCGCTTACATCCTTGCTAACATTCCCTGAAAAGATTGGGGGCAGATTGGACAGAGCTGTTGGCATTAGAAGAGACCAGCTCACCCACTCTAAGATGTAGGGCAGGGCCACTCAGAAGATAAAGTCACTGTCTGTGCGGTGAAAGCCAGCGGTGACACCACAGACAGCACTTCAGCACTTCCTCTAGATTACCTTGAAGTCAGAGAGATGGATGTCAACAGTCTTATAGAGCTCAGAATAGTCACTGTAGCAATGAGCAAATATGAAACTACATTTATTTAATGCATTATTTTAAAGAAAATTGATTCAGGAAGGCAAGATGGTCATTTTTAGGGCTCAAAAATCAGTTTGGAATTCACCTCACTACTTCATTATTGCTTAGTCACAAATCAAATCTCATTGTAGAACCAAAGTAAACACAAAGAGTGCCAAATCAAACAAGTCAACATTAAACAGAAGCAAATTGTAACTTGAATACATTTTGCATTAATGTACAATCATGTACTGTAAGTGCACCACAGAATATAAACCAGATAATTCCTTTACTCTTTACAAAACAAGAGTTTGACGAAAATATAAGTTTGTACGACCAAAATGTCCTTTGTGAGTGGTTATATGAGTGTTCTCTTACACGTCTCTTTTTTCAGCTACCAACTCGAGTTTCAGTGTGAGTGTGAGTGTGAGTGTGAGTGTGATTAGTGAGTGTGGCAAATAGGTTAACAAATGTTCATCTCTGACCCAGCTGTCAGCCCTCGAAATGCATTGTAGGAAATATTTAGACATCAAGTTTTACAAAAAAAATGTCTAATCCAAAAGAAGCACATATTTATTTATGTTTTATGTTTATTGCCAAATAAGAAATGTGAAGTTAAATTTCTTTTCGACATGAAACTGTTGAATACATTTAAAAAAAAAACGATATAAGCCTGGTATCATGAACAAACAATCTTAAACTGCTGTCATCTTAAGATTCAAAAGTTGCTCAGTGCTAATTTGTCCAAAGAGATCAATACTGTTTAAAATCCTGCGGAGTGAATAACTCCTTCTCTTTTAATGAGAGAGAGGCTGTTAAAATGAGGTCAGGGTTCAGTTTAGAGTCCGGGAATACGTCTTCATCATTACTCAGGGGCCTCACAAATACAGCAACGCAAGTGTGTGTCCATGTGTGTGTCTTTCTTGTATCATTATGAGCATGTGTCTCCCGACTCCATGTGACAGCGGCTAAACTACAGATACAGCAGCTTCTATGAAAGAACAACAAGTCAGTTATGATCTGGCTATTCGCTGTGACACAATGCTAACGCACACTATTCTTAATAATAACTTGGTTCTCTCTCTCTGTCTCTCTCTCTCCCTCTCTTCTCCCTGCTGCCTGGAACGACAGATCACTTGGGCATCGAGTTTATGGGTAAGGAAGCTTTTTCTTGTCTTGCATTTGCATGGGTCACGACTGTAAACATCACAGCCTTTCATGTGAGATCAACGCTGTGTTGTGTGATTACTTCCATACAGTACATGCAGTGTTTATGACATGAGCAAATGGCACACGGACGTCCCCTAATCGCATATGGCATCGTTATATCATCCGCCTTGGAAACAACAAAGACAAATGGTGTCAATATGAATGTACATTCTTATACTCTCACCCATCAACCTTTCTCGGTGCACATGCTGCACTGCGTTCCTCTGCATTATTAGCCCCCTCTGTCACTCTCCGCTTTCTCTACACATATGTATTTACTTTATCTCCATCTTTATGATGTCTCCTTTTTTTTTTTTTATCGTGCTCTCTTTTTCTCATTCTCTTTCTCTCACAATCGCTTATGAAGTGTCCCCTCAGAATACCAATGTGCTGCAGTCGCCTTGGAAACAGCAAGAACAGAGATGCAGGCAGAAGTACAGTGAGGGAGCTTTTATGATGTTGGCACTGTTAACAAATGCTCTCCTCATTAGGACGCGTGTGTGCATATGTGCGCACATGCAAGGCGCATGTTCTAAAGAGTGTGTTCGTGGTGCCCGTAGTTCTCACAGATGCGAGTTAGATGAGATTCTTCCAGTGATTGTGCGATGGATATTCTTGTGTTTGCTTGCTGAGTCTGTGCGGGGTGGTTGCCAGCGGCTCGTCACTGCCAGGCCTCCTATCTCTCTCTCTCTCTCTCTCTCTCTCTCTCTCTCTCTTTTCTCCAGTTTTTGGCTCTCCTCTAACAGACTCTGTGTCAGGTATCACAGCTGAGAAGCTCTAGTTAAACACTACATATGCTTGTTGTTAACTAGAACCCCCCTCCTACTCTCTTGTTTGGCTTAATTTGGGCCTTTTCCACAAAGACAGATTGAAAAGCAATGGATCATCTGGGAAATTGGCCTCCCCCAGGTTTGACATGCTTGCTGCTTCTATATTCTCAAAGTAGAATTTCACGGGAACAAGCAGCGTCATGCCTTATGTTCTTCACTGCACGATGTCTGCATTTGCAGTCAAATGAACAAAAGCGTCTTCTTTTCTTTTCTTTTTTTCAAGAAACTTGCTGAGACTATGCAAACTTGGCAGTGACAGATGATCTATTCCACAGAGCTATCTCACAGGTTTTCCCATTTATATTCAGTGAGAGGTTTTATGCCTCTGCAAAAATGTTCAGGCTGCCACATTTTTTTCTTTGCCTTGCTAACGTCTCTGGTTCTGCCAATATCGTCTCCAGCATTGTGCTAAGAAGCGAGTGGATAGATAAGCACCTCACACACTCAACCCTGGGTTGTAAAAGTTTGTGCCTTTTAAAATGGTTTCTCTTTAGAAAACACAAGGCTTACTTACTAAACTGCAAATAAAAACAATTGTATTATTATGATTTGGCAATTACATAACGTTTTTTTATAGACCCAAAATGTGGAGCAGGATTAAGATCAACAAGGCTGCATTGTAAAATCTTGAATCATTCCTTCCTATACCTTCTTGTTTCTGAATAGTAACTGATGCCATATCATCTACAGGGAGGACCCTTGTAACCCACACATTCATAATTATGTCTGAAAAACATAAGGAAGGAAGAAAGTCGAATGGCATACAAAACTGTGCTTCATAGTGTCTCAATGACTCGGCTGACCGATCCCTATTATGTTCTATGCAGGTGCTGCAGCAGTTAACTATATAAGACATTGAAAATAAGGTGGTGCTTTTACAGAAAAAAATCTTTCCTCAAAGTTGAGTTGAGTTCTAGTCAGATGGCCTGTGGCAAATAAGAGACACCTATTAATCTGTTGCGAAAGGTAGCTAGCCAGCTCTATGAGTCTCAGCTGACCTGTCATGTTTGTAAGTCAGTCAGACAAATATGTTAAAAAATCAATTTATTTTTTTATTTTTTTGAAAATGTATTTCAGGGAGAGAGAGTGGGGAGTGACATGCGGGAAAGGAGCCACAGGCTGGATTTGATCCCGGGCCGCCTGTTTGGAAGGCTATAGCCTCCATACATGGGCCGCGCGCACTAACCACTGCGCAACCAGCGCCCCAGAAATTATTTTTAAGAACTGGTAAAATATTGAAAGCAGACAATTGAGGTAAAAAAATCATAATGTGAGATTAAACGGGGTGCATGTTTATTTCTATTATAGAGGTGGCGTTTTTTCCCATTTCAATTACTTACCATACAATTTAGTGTACATGATGCACTTTCACTTCATAATTTTTCATCTAAAAAGTTGTCTGCGTCCTTTATACCAGTGCAACCAAAATGTAAAATGCTGAGACATGCGGCATCATGACCACAAGTGCAGCCACCACCATCACCCGCTGTCAGCCTGACGCCAGTGAAAAACGCCACCCTTCATTGTGTATTCCAAGCAGCACATTTGTGGAGCAAAACATTATAATGCTTCTCAAGAAAACAGTGGTATACTGTTAAGTTAATAAACCTTGTGGAGTCCTGGGTTGACCCCTCAATCAAACACAAGTGGGTGACAACGGTTGGTGGAGAGCATGGGTCCCTGTCTCCCAACTATCAACATCACTGTAGGCTGAGAGCTCAACTACAAAAGCTTGTAGGATTGCAAACTCCACATGGTGAAAACAGTTGTTACCAGGAAGAGCAACACAGCAGCACATAAACTGCACGTTGTGGACTTTGCTGAACACAATGGAAATTGATGAGACTGCATGTGTCTTATCTACTGCTGTGACTTGTATTCTGGATTTCATGGTACATATATAATTCAGTTAAGATCTCCTTGACAGCAGCGATCAGAGTCACGTTCAAGGGTTGAAAATAGAAAAGAAAATGTCTCTAGGCTGAGATCTCTTCACCCAGGGTACTACCCATGCAGGATGTAATGAAACAGAGTATACTTACATATCAAAGATCGATCCTTATCCTATACATTTTTTATACTAAAGAAAAAAAGGGAGACTGTCTTTCCTCTATGTAGTCAGTCACTCGTGTGCATCAATATTTCCATTCCATCAGAGATCAGTGAGCTCTGACTGGAAGATGTTCCAGCGGGTTGTAAATCGATGTTTTAGCAAAGTCTAACAGGCAGCTATTTTTGGGGGTTTGGATGGATTTTAAGTCATGTTGATTTTCAATTTTCTTCTGGTGGGTTTAAAGTGTTTTAGCTGGAAGGATGCAAAGAAGATCAGAGATGAATGTTGGAGACATTTGTGTTTTGATGTATCTTGACAGCTGGGATAGGTGATAGTCACAATCATGTCATCTTTCTTTTAACATGTAAAGGTGCATGAGACAGAAAAAAGTGAATTTCACTAGTGGTCCACTTTGACAACTTAGTGACTGAAACATTGCGTAAATGTGTCCAGTGCTGCTTAATGACAAATAGAGAAGGAAATGAGCAACAATAGACAGACAGAGGAGGAAGCACAAATCACTCTGGTGCTCACAGAGATGACTTTTCAATCAAACTGCACAACAATTTCTTCATTTATTTTCGGAGAATGCCTACGAGTGAACTTCTAGAATTCCTGTCAAAAAAAGAATATCCTGCAATCTCAAACAGGTGCACACAGTTTTAGAAAGAAAGTTTACCAGTCAAATATTACCTGTCCAGATCTAGATGTATATGTGCACCGATATTGGCAAAACAAACCTTACAGGAGTTTAACTTTTTTATTTGACAGTTGTCAGAAAACAAGAGTGACAAACTTCACAAATCTTTAAAGGTTGCAGTTCATAAAAAGATTATTGGGCTCTTGTAACAGCAAAAACAGCAGATCTATATCACCAGAAAATTGTCCCAATTTTTCTGTGTATGAAAAGTCAAGTTGCATTATTTCTAAGACACCAGACAACATGAATTGACCAGAATTATGTACAACTTTCACAGCAAGACTGATGTATATTGAAGAGAGACACAGAGGTAGCATATAGCTGCATTAGAAAGAGGGGTAGAACGGTCTGGTGTCTATGATGACAAAGAGTTGTACTAACAGTTTTTTAAATACAGATTGAGTTTGAGGAATTAGCTGCATCGGGAAATCACAAAGTACAAATACTTGTTTTCTGTTCTTGGATAAAGTTGCAGGTATCTGTGCTCAGATTCAGTTTTCAGACTAATTTTCCTGCGGCGACAATTTAATGTGACAACAAGGAGAACTTATAGTGACGTGGAGAAATGTTAACATTGCAAACCACATGATTGCAGATTCAGAATAGCAGAATGTTCTGTATGAATGATTTAAGCGTTTTCCGAAATATGATATAAGGTTGAGCTGCAAGGAATTTCCTTCGCATCGTTTCTTTTTGTCATTTATATTGGGAGGATATTTAGGAGTCTTTACTTTTTTTCAATTTGGTTAAAATGTTGAATTGGTAAATTTAGAGTTTTCTTTGTTTTTTCAGAAGTTCTCTACATTTACTTTAACAAAACGCGTACATTTTAAAAGCGTCAGAAGCTCAAGATGTGGCACATTAGCCGATCTCATCACATACTGGAAGCTATATAAAGGCACATAAGCGATTTGATGTGTTCTTTCAGTTCAGCAGCAGCCACAGTGGGAATGGCTTAAACCAACATCAATGTAACAAGTTACATTATAGTCAGAGAAAGGAATTAAAGTTTGTGTAACCTCTCCCAGATCATGGGCCAAGAAATAATATGTGAGAAGAAAATATGCATATATTCAGCATGGAAATGGGTGAATAAAGCCATCCGGGTAATAGAGGGAAAGGACCATGACCAGCCAAGAGAGTATGCTTACTCTTGCACAGCAGACCTGCATAAATAAAGTTTTTATCCTCCATCAGCAGTCTGTACGGCATATGAAAAATCTAACACTCAGGGCTGTGAGGCAGCCATGCTGGAGAATCCCATCCTGCTTCGCCCACCCGCGTCCTCTGATCTCCTCGAACTACATTATGTCATTGCTCTCATTCACCCATTCCTGTCAATGTCAGCTGCTCTTGGCACAGG